GGGAAAGTCTTCAACAAAGTCCAAGATTGAAGGCAACATCAACAAAAGAAATCCAAGGAGAAAAGAGTTGTTCTTGAGGTAAGAACACAAGTATTATCCTTTAACTAGTATTATTTTTGTATGATTTTTATGAAATCATATGGTGGATTAAACATGAAGTTCTACACGTTTAAAAGTGTAGAATAATGTTATAAAGTGGTGGTATTTAACTTAGAAGAGTCGTGGAATCGATAGGAGTTGAAATCGCCGGAAACCGCCAAGTATAGGAGGCTGTTCGTAGCTGCAGACCACGAAAGCCGCCCACCTTTCACGAAAGCCGCCCGGCTTTCGTCTGCTGCCCAGATTTTTCATCTCCAAACGGTTTAGAACGGGGATTGATCGAAGGGCTTAACAAGGACAACTATTTCAGCACTTCATAAGGTGAGGATGGCTGACTATATTGCTTATAATCTTTGGGTTAATTTCGTAGGATTACCTAAAGTAAATAAATGTGATTTTCATGGATTATTAATGATTAATAATGCCTAAATGAAAATATTGTTGTCAATGAATAAAGGAGCATAATATACAAATTTAAGGATAAATTGTGTATGATTATGTAATATGAGCATATTGGCTTGATGAAGGGATTAGTTATAAATATTGTGTTGAAATATAACTATAACTTCATATAAGGATATATGAGTGGTTAAAGGTTATATTTTGTATATTGATATGAACTATATTTTCAATGGAAAATTAGTTTGGAAATTGTCTATATGACTTTGAATTGAAAATGAGTTTTGTTGGAATTTATCCGACTAGTATTATGATACAAGTCGGGGTTTTGGAATGAAATATGTTAGAATTGATCCAAGGTTTGGATTGTAAATTGTTGAGCCTTAAGTAGTCTTAAGAGATACTAAGGTGGATAAGTGATGCTAGGGGTAGGCCTTAAGGGATACCCAAGATAAAGAGAATAATAAATTGATCCTAGGAATAGGATTGGCCTACGGGTGTATTCGGTAGTCTTTAAGGATTAGCCGATAGAGTATTGGTAATTAGTAAGGACCATGGCCCTTCCCGACTCTAGAGAGCGGGGTTGGATAGCATGGACTTACATCGTGATCACGGGTTAGGGTGGAATCCGAACCGGAGACCTTACGAGGCTCCCGACAGCGGTAACACATAAGATAGGACCCCGAATGGACCTTACCTTCCTACGGGATGATGGGTATGAGTTCAGGGGCGGGATGTTGGACTCCGGCCCGAGAGCCCGGTGAGGCCTCGGAGAGCGGTGACAAGTCTCGTAAAGGATGATAAGACCTACGGGCGGCGTCGTGCTAACGACGGGTATAATGAAATATATGAAATGGGCCGTGTGCCGACAAATAAATAAATTTACTTATTATAGAGATAATAAGTGGGAAATATAAATTATTATTTATATTATGATATCACCCTATTTTGAGGGTCTTAGAAATTAAAATGTTGATTATACTTAGTATAGTTGTCATTGTACTTGTCAAATGCTTCCAAGTACTGACCTCCCCTTCACGGGGGAGGCCACCTCACAGTTTCAGGTAGGGAGTAAAGCTTGCTACCATCGCCCGTTGCTTCGGGGAGCTCAGGGAGAGAAGACGTGGTTCGTGCTTCCTCCGTTCTATTTTTAAAACATGAAATTAATGCTCATGGATATTATTTTGATTAATTATTTGGGGCTTGTACGCCCATGTTGCCGAAGTGTGGCATAAACACTTGTATTAAACGTTTCCGCTGATTTAAATGATTATTTTACATTATGTTTGTTTATGGATGTACTATTGTGAATGATATTCAAGACGCCTAGTATAGTATGGATGAGTTGGACTGCGGTTGACTATTCGTACTGTACGGCGGGTTGTTGACGTGTCCGGTAGGTCCGGGGCGTGACAATTAAGTTGGTATCAGAGCCTTAGTCCGTAAACTTCATAATGAAGCTTCAAAATTCTTTTGAAAATGATTTTGAAAACCATGAGCATAAAGTTTTGTACTTATAGAACTTTTGGTACTTGAGTTGCAAGGTCTCTAATTGTTAAGATGGTACCCTTAACAATTGGTATGGCGGTGATTTGAGCCAAAAGATGTCTTTAAGTACCTATCCGTCACTTGACATTTGATACGAGTCTAATGGCTCAATCTAAACTTCTTTCAGAAATGGAGCCAATCGGAAGAATCACTAGGAGGAACCCGACGGGCCGTGTACCGGGTGGATCCGAACGCGGCAGCCGGGGGTCCACTAGGGTGTCAAGGGGAAGGGGCCGTGGAGGCCAACAACAAACCGTGAGCGACGGTCACGTTGACACGGAGAGTGAAACTTATTGGTCCTATGAGGACTCAACTTATAGGCCGGAAACCGAGCCGGTGGAAACCCCATATGATGGGGAGGATGACGATGTGAGCGGGGAGAGTGACGATAATGGCACTCTTGGGAGGATTGAGGCGCTACTCGAACAATACCATCGGGAGCGTGAAGAGAGGAGACAACGCCGAAGGCGCCGAGCGGGGCGACCTTCGGGTATGGCTTCAAGAGGAGGGAGTCATAATGCATCTAGAGTCCATGTGGAACCACATGGAGGCCAAAATGATGGAGGTCCAACCATAAGGATCTCCAAGTTTATCAAAGAGGCTAGAGATTTGGGGTGCAAACCCTTTGACGGAACCGGGGACATTTCGGTTGCCGCTCAATGGATCAAGAGGTTGAATGAAGCAGCCCTTGACATGCAAATCACGCCCAACCTTAAACTGAGAATAGCGGTAAGGTTGCTTGAGGGGATGGCATCCAAATGGTGGGATGGAACCAAGAGCAAGTATGGTGAGGGCGTCGTTTGGGAGGACTTCCAACGGGAGTTCTTTGCCCAATATTACTCCGACTTCGAGGTGAACAAGAAGGTGAGGGAATATACCCTCCTAACTCAAGGAGGTAACATGACGGTGAAGGAACTTGAGTACAAGTTTCGGGACCTTGCCGACTACATACCGGAGTACGCTTGTGATGAGAACCGGATGGTGAACCACTTTTGGGATGCCCTAGACTTGGAGATACGTGATAGGGCAACACAATTGCCTAACATGACCTTCGCCCAAGTGGTAGACCAAGCCTTGAAGGGCGAAAAACAGTGGGAAGAGAGGAAGAAAAGAGATGCCGATGAGGCGAAGAAAAGGAAATGGAAGAACCATGGCCCCCAAGGTTCTAACAAGAAGGGGAACCACGGGGGAGGTAGCTCATTTAGAACCCCTGCACCACCACCGAAGGGAAACCAAGGCCCAAGTGGGCAAAGCTCGAGGTCACAAAACTCGGGAGTACTAAGGTGCAGCAACTGCAAAAAGCTTCATCAAGGCAAGTGCCGTGATCTCCCGAGATGCTATCAATGCGGGGAGGTCGGGCACATGAAGGTGAGTTGCCCACAACTTGGGCGAGCCGTGGGTGCCGGACCAAGCAGTGGAACCACGATGAGCAGGAACCGGACAGCGGCACCTCATGCAAACACGGGGCACGGTGGAGCTAGTACAAGCAATGCACCGTCCGTTAATCAAGGGAGGACCCAAGCGAGGGTCTATGCGATTACGGAAGCCGATGCACGTGCTAACCCGGACTCCGTCGCGGGTAAATTCTTGAACTTTTGATGTTATTCCCTTGTAAACAATATAAGCGTTAAAATGTACACGTTGTACAGCCAACCGGGAATGTGCAAGTTCGAAGAAGTGGATGACTATCCACCTGGGACGAATGCCGCCCGGCATTGACGGAAGCCGCACGGCTTTCGCCTTCGAATTATTTGCAAAATCCTACGGCGACTATAAGGCGCCCGACTTTGACGAAAGCCGCCCGGCTTTCGTGCTTGATTTTTGCTAAAATCCTTCGGCGGAGAAAAACCGGCCGAGTTTTGTAGAAACCGGCCGGCTTGTGTTCAGGCGTCTCCGGTGTGAGGCGCTGCTAATGAAAACCGGCCGACATTCGTAAGAACCGGCCGGCTTTTATAAAAAAATTTTGAAATTCTACGGCGACGAACGTCACCCGACGTTCGTGAAAACCGGCCGCCTTTCATGGGAATTAAGTCAATTAAATGTTCGGCGATGAAAAACCGGCCGGCTTTGGCGAAAACCGGCCGGCTTACGTAACCGTCCCTTCCGAGCCGAAGGCTGAGGTGCGAAAACCGGCCGGCTTTCATGAAAAGCGGTCGGCTTTCCCTTATTGGTACACGGTGTTGATTTTTTAGGTGGGAACCGGGATGGAATCGGGATGGGGCGTTAGCTGACGATCATCCAAACCATAGCCGGGGTACTCTATAACCTAAGAAATGAGTCTAATAAGTGGGGAGTGTGTCTTACATTGCTTATGAATGTAGGAACACTAAAGATTAACGGGAGAGACGCAAGAATCCTCATTGACACCGGGGCGCAACGATCATTCGTGAGTGAGGCGTTTGCCGGGGGATTCAAAGAACCACTTGTACCGATGGCTCAAGCCCTATTGGTATCCACACCTCTAGGGGAAGACATCGAGAGAGATAGTCACTATCCATCGTGTGAGGTGGAAGTGGAGGGCCAAAACTTGACGTGTGACTTCGTACCGCTGAGTATGATTGAATTCGATGCAATCCTGGGGATGGATTGGCTTGAGAAGCATCATGCTAGGGTCGATTGCTACACGAAGATACTTGAACTCGAAGGCGATGAAGGGGTAACCTTACGCTTCGAGGGGGATCGGGCCAAATCCAATAGTTGTATCATATCCGCCATGAGAGCTAGGAGTATGATGAGAAAGGGTTGCCGCGCATATCTAGCATACGTGGTAGACAAAACAAAAGAAGAGACGAGCATTGATGATGTGAGGGTGGTATGCAAGTATCCGGATGTCTTTCCAAAGGACTTACCGGGACTTCCACCCGATAGGGAGATTGTGTCACGCCCCAGACCGCGTCTGTGCCACGTGGACAACCGTCGTACAATCCAATAAGAATAACCGCAGTTCATCCTTACCGAATTGCACAAGACGTCCGATAGATACATATGCCAAAACCGATTAGTAAACATACATAACAACATCAACATACAATCAAACACATAGCGGAATATAAGTGTTTAATAAGAACCCACACAAGGGTAAAACAAGAGCTCGCAGGCTCCATTAATTTATAAGTCAAAATAGTTCCATGAGCATTATTTAATTATTTAGAAATAGAACCGGAGGAAGCACGAACCACGTCTTCTCTCCATCGATCTCCCGAGCAACGGGTGCAGGAAGTAAGCTCTAGCTTCAACCTGAAAGGGTGGTTCCCCCGAGGGATCAGTACTACAGAAAAGTACTGGTGAGGGCAAACTGTATGTAATGTAACTAACGTTTCTCACGCGAGACCCTCAAAATAGGGTGATAGTATAATTATGGGCATAACTCTTAGCTACCCCTTTTCAAAACAAAATGTATACATATATACATATGAGTAAAATATCTAGCCCGTGGGCCCATTTGTCTTTCAAATCATTTAGGCGTAACAGCCTCATTAAATTCATCCTTCCCATGCCTTACCCTCGAGTGGAGTCACCCGCAGGCTAACTCACTCGATACTAAAATATAATTACTGTGGGGCCCTTCGGACTCCCATATCCTAGACATGGTTTAAATCAATCCCTAGACCAAGGAAAATATTATATCGGGAACTCGTTCCCGATCAAGCACGTTTAATCATTTAAAATCATTACTTCGAGGTCCACCTACCTCGAGGACTATCCGTCCTTGCTATCATAGTTTTCATTTCCGGGTTAACCCCGCCTCGAGGAGTACGCATACACCCTCATCCTATGTGTAATTTACTGGAGGTTAACACACCTCAAGGACTACACGGGCCCTTGTTACCTATATGCACTTTGATGGAGGTTAACACACCTCAAGGACTGCATTTGCCCTTGTTAACTATATGCAATTTGATGGAGGTTAAACACACCTCAAGGACTGCATTTGCCCTTGTTACCTATATGCAATTTGATGGAGGTTGAACACACCTCAAGGACTGCATTTGTCCTTGTTACCTATATGCAATTTGATGGAGGTTAAACACACCTCAAGGACTGCATTTGCCCTTGTTAACGTTTGAGTGTAGAGGACTCCTCCTGGTCCTACAGAGTATTATATAACCTTACTTGGTCCCGGGTATTCACCCGCCATGTATAATCTACCACGTACCTCGCCCGGTCGTGGTCTATAATTTCTTTACTAACGACTAGTCCAAGTCTTAGCGTTTAAACCGTATTCCAAGCCTTATCATTTTAAACATCATATTTCATGCAATTCCATGCAAAATATTCATATATAGGATGGCTAGAATTTATCCCACGTCGAATCGGGTCCGATTTGGGTTTTTAACAAAAATCAGTCCTGAAAGCCGAGACATAACCGGCGCCGGTTTTACCCATAACCGGCGCCGGTTTACTGATTTTCTTGAGTAAACCGAACCATAACCGGCGCCGGTTTTGCCTATAACCGGCGCCGGTTACCCCCTGGGCAACCGGTCAACATTTTGGTCAACGCCCGTTTGACCATCCAAACGGGGTCCGATTTCCACGAAATTTTATATGCTTATGCAACAAGTCATTCTTAGTCCAAAAATATTATTTTGGACGTCCAAATCATCACACATAATTTATAATCATTTTCTGTCCAAATTAAAGCATATTAAATACACTTATTAATACTATTAATAAGTAAATCTTTCCTTAATACATTCTTAGATGTATTTAACATTTCATGGAATATCATTCTGTTTTATTTGAGTAATCTCATGCCCAAGCCCAAATCATGGCTCATGATCCTTTCTTACAACCTTTTATTCATACCATTAATTGATTAATCATTAATTATGCCATATTTCCATAATCCATAATTAATATGACTAATCACATATCACATATCTTTTTATATTTCTTTACTAGATAACTCTAGTTAATCACATACACGGTTCAAGTATACCTTCTTATTCATTTAAGAAAAATATACTCATGATTAATTAATAGATTAATCTATTTTTTTATTTATCATATAATACTTCCATAATCCATATTTAATATGGATAATCACAACTTTACAACCCTTTTATATTCACTTACTAGATTATTCGAGCTTATCTCATACATGGTTCAAGTATATCCTCTTATGCATTAAGAAATATATACTACGTACTAATGATTAATTAATAAATTAATCTATTTTTTTCATTAGTCATATACACCATGACTAATCATGCATTTTAATCCATTTCATCATTTCTCAAATCATGGTTATGATTTTATTTAGGTAATCCCACGTTTGAACCAAGAGTTACAAGACACGTAGTCGTCCACTCACCTCGAAATGACGCTAGCAAGCTTTTATCTTCTTTGTTTGAACTCCGGCGACTTTTGAATTTTCCGGCGAAAACTCCGGCAGCTCCGGCGACTTTTACGGCCACTCCTAGATTCCTTGAGAAGTCTAGAATACCTTGGTAAAATTCCTAACAAGTTTTCACAACCAAAAGTGGTATAAATGTCAAAACCTTCCGAGAAGGTGTTTCCCGGTGAACCGGTCTTACTCCGGCCATAACTCCGTTCATAGTTAAACTTAACCTTCCAAACCCTCATTCAACACCTATAGAAGTGTATCATATGATTTATAAAACCATATGAGATTAAATGAAGGAAGGAAAATACTAATGAAGTCATTACCTTGATTTTTCTAAGTTTTTCTCTTCTTTTCCAAGCCTTTCTTCTTCCTTGAGCCTTCTTCAACCTTAAGCTCGGTTCATGGCTATGGAGGGGAGTATTTGCAGAGGTTATTTCTCTATTTGATGGCCTAATTCGGATGGGAGGCTGAGGGAAAAGTCAACACACTCATTTGGCACCTTACTCTCAATCAAGGTAAATGAGAAGACCCACCCATGTCCTTTTGATGCCAATCAATTCCAATCCCATACAATGCATCCCTCCATCATCCTCCAGCCCACATCTCGACTGATTGGTTGCATAATTACGTGGGATGGCCCCCACCCATGTGGGAGGTCATCCCAATATGTCCCGAAATGTACATTCGGCCCCGAAAGTTGTATTTTCTGGACTGTTTTAATTATATTTTATTTTATCGGGTCAAGTAAAATATATATCATTCTTTCAATTAATATTGGACTCTAAAATGAATATATTTTACCCCACTTTAATTTAGTGGTCACCGGAATTTATTTCGGGCTGTTATCTGATTAATTAACTATACCGACAATGGGACCTCGTTTGATTGAAAGGCCAACTTTATGGATCACATTAATTTACACCATCATATAAATATTATCTAAACCAAGATGAATATAATACGTGGTCCGTAAATATCGGATGGTCCCCGCCCATGTGTGGGCCCAACGTGCCTTTTACCGTTCAAGTAGCGGTAAAAATGAGAATAAGTTACTTTAAAAAAATTATTCATCATTCCTAATGCTAAATATGTGTTTTCATATTTTGTGACACTTTAATAAAATGTCGCACTTATTTTTAAGTGGTCCCAACTGTATAAGCAGATAAAATCTTATCTGTTTATTCTTATACAAAAATATCTTCAAGGTAGGGTCCTCCAAAAGTACCCACCTCTAACATGTCAAGTTGCTCATTATTATCCATCATCCCATGTTTTGGGTTCTTAAAATATTTATATTCCTTCTGTTATTAATTTGTAGCCTTCCGAATTATTATCAGTCCGATAATTAATGATTCACAATTATCGGATAGTGACCCCGGCCCGCTTGGCCATCTAGTTGTCGTTCTTTATATCACTGGGGTCCATGACCCATCCCTACTATCATAATAATAGTATCGTTTTGGAAAATAGTAATATTTTATAAACTTGAAATACCACGTGTGGTCCCATGTCTAAATTAATAACCCTTTATTAATTTAGGACAAAATTTTAACTTTCTCATTTATCAAGACTACTCTTAGTCTTGATTTACCTTCTTTAACCAAGTAGTTTACGAAAAAATTTTATCTGGGTAAAATTCGGGTCCGGTGTTACAAGTTCACCCCCCCTTACAGGAATTTCGTCCCCGAAATTAACGCTTGAACCTTGAGAAACATTTCTCCCTTCATTATCTGAAGCTAACAATTTTGAAAATAAAAATATTTATGGAAATTAAGGTTTAATTTAATAATACCTTGTGCCAAAGTCGGGCCTAACAAATGGCTTCCGCCATTCCCGGCCTTCACGAGCGAGTTCGCCATTGACTTGTAGAAGGTACCATGTTTGAGGCAACCTTAGTTGGGTTTTCAACCCCCGTGACCCCTCCTCTAGCTCCTGATGTTCCTTCACGCGCACGTTGAGGACAAAGGACCTTGATGTGGCCTGTTTCTCCACAAAAGTAACATCTAGATGGCTCTCGACATCTCCCATAGTGCCTTCGCCTACAATTCTCACATTTGGGTGCCCCCATGCCCCGAGTGCTTGAGCTTTGACTTACCAAGTCCTGGCTCTTACTGAAAAACGGAACTAACTTGTTAGAGTTCCCCTTGCTCTGAAGTTCATCCTTCCCCTCTCGTCGTGGAGGGTGAATGATCACCTGGGCTCTTTCTTCTGCTTCCTTTGCATCCCTTGCTTGCCTTTCCTTCCAAAGCTCCTCCCCCTGGAGACCCTGAGCTACTACCTGACTGAAAGTCATGTTGAATTGGTAGGTCGCCCTTTCGCGTATTTCCAAATTGAGTGCATTCCAAAAATGGTTTGCCATTCGATTCTCATTTGCGGCATATTCAGGCAAGAACCTTGCCAGATGTCGGAATCTTTGTTCCAGTTGCTTCACCGTAAACTCATTTCCCTGTTTGAGATCGATATATTCCCTCCTCTTTCGATTTACTTCGAAAGAGGTGTAAAACTGCTCATAGAATGCTTGCTCGAAGTTGTCCCACGTGACAACCCCGTCAAACTTACCCTTGGTGCCTTCCCACCAAGAAGAAGCTAAACCCTCCAATAATCTAGTGGCTACCCTTAACTTTCGTTCAGGGACCACCTGCATGTCATCAGCTGCATCATTCAACCTTTTTATCCACTCGGCTGCTTCCGATATGTCCTCCGTCCCATCAAATGGTTTGCACCCCAAGGCTCTAGCCTCTTTGAGATACTTTGAGATTTTAAAGAGTGGTCCTTCACCATCAGATTCCCTGACTGTCCTAACTTGTGCTCTGTGAGCACCCCGACCCCTCCTGAGAGAAGTCTCGCCTCTGACATGTCCCTCCTGAGATCCCTGTCGTTGTCTTCCCCTTTCACGTTGGTACCATCGGTACATTTCACTAACCTGGTCAGGAGGAATACTATGTATATCCTCCCCACTGTTTTCTTCAAAAGAAGTTTCATCTGACTCGCTTTGAGGGTGATAAGTTGAGTCATCCTCTGAGTCCCACGACTCGAATTCAGTCACATTGTGATCAGCCATCGCGGCTCGTGTTCGTGGGCCTTGATTGCCCATACCTCGCCTCTTACGCGACATTGATATCCCCCGATTGGCTTGCCCGGCTATCCCCGGTGCGCGCCCTCTCGGATTTCCTCGAACCGCCCTATCACTACCACCCATTCCTGAAAGAATATGTTGGAATGAGTCTTTGGACTCGTTTGAATGTCAATTGACAGAAACGTACTCAAGACACAACTTGGCTCAAGTCACTGCCATACCAATTGTTAAGGGGCCCATCTTAACAACCAGAGACCTTGCAACTCGATAACCAAATGCTCTTAAAGTACAAAACTTATGCTCATGGTTTTTCATTGAAAACTGTTTTGATAGAAACTCTGTTGAGAGGTTGACTATATAGTTTAGAAATCGTTTGGCTCTGATACCACTTAATTGTCACGCCCCAGACCGCGTCTGTGCCACGTGGACAACCGTCGTACAATCCAATAAGAATAACCGCAGTTCATCCTTACCGAATTGCACAAGACGTCCGATAGATACATATGCCAAAACCGATTAGTAAACATACATAACAACATCAACATACAATCAAACACATAGCGGAATATAAGTGTTTAATAAGAACCCACACAAGGGTAAAACAAGAGCTCGCAGGCTCCATTAATTTATAAGTCAAAATAGTTCCATGAGCATTATTTAATTATTTAGAAATAGAACCGGAGGAAGCACGAACCACGTCTTCTCTCCATCGATCTCCCGAGCAACGGGTGCAGGAAGTAAGCTCTAGCTTCAACCTGAAAGGGTGGTTCCCCCGAGGGATCAGTACTACAGAAAAGTACTGGTGAGGGCAAACTGTATGTAATGTAACTAACGTTTCTCACGCGAGACCCTCAAAATAGGGTGATAGTATAATTATGGGCATAACTCTTAGCTACCCCTTTTCAAAACAAAATGTATACATATATACATATGAGTAAAATATCTAGCCCGTGGGCCCATTTGTCTTTCAAATCATTTAGGCGTAACAGCCTCATTAAATTCATCCTTCCCATGCCTTACCCTCGAGTGGAGTCACCCGCAGGCTAACTCACTCGATACTAAAATATAATTACTGTGGGGCCCTTCGGACTCCCATATCCTAGACATGGTTTAAATCAATCCCTAGACCAAGGAAAATATTATATCGGGAACTCGTTCCCGATCAAGCACGTTTAATCATTTAAAATCATTACTTCGAGGTCCACCTACCTCGAGGACTATCCGTCCTTGCTATCATAGTTTTCATTTCCGGGTTAACCCCGCCTCGAGGAGTACGCATACACCCTCATCCTATGTGTAATTTACTGGAGGTTAACACACCTCAAGGACTACACGGGCCCTTGTTACCTATATGCACTTTGATGGAGGTTAACACACCTCAAGGACTGCATTTGCCCTTGTTAACTATATGCAATTTGATGGAGGTTAAACACACCTCAAGGACTGCATTTGCCCTTGTTACCTATATGCAATTTGATGGAGGTTGAACACACCTCAAGGACTGCATTTGTCCTTGTTACCTATATGCAATTTGATGGAGGTTAAACACACCTCAAGGACTGCATTTGCCCTTGTTAACGTTTGAGTGTAGAGGACTCCTCCTGGTCCTACAGAGTATTATATAACCTTACTTGGTCCCGGGTATTCACCCGCCATGTATAATCTACCACGTACCTCGCCCGGTCGTGGTCTATAATTTCTTTACTAACGACTAGTCCAAGTCTTAGCGTTTAAACCGTATTCCAAGCCTTATCATTTTAAACATCATATTTCATGCAATTCCATGCAAAATATTCATATATAGGATGGCTAGAATTTATCCCACGTCGAACCGGGTCCGATTTGGGTTTTTAACAAAAATCAGTCCTGAAAGCCGAGACATAACCGGCGCCGGTTTTACCCATAACCGGCGCCGGTTTACTGATTTTCTTGAGTAAACCGAACCATAACCGGCGCCGGTTTTGCCTATAACCGGCGCCGGTTACCCCCTGGGCAACCGGTCAACATTTTGGTCAACGCCCGTTTGACCATCCAAACGGGGTCCGATTTCCACGAAATTTTATATGCTTATGCAACAAGTCATTCTTAGTCCAAAAATATTATTTTGGACGTCCAAATCATCACACATAATTTATAATCATTTTCTGTCCAAATTAAAGCATATTAAATACACTTATTAATACTATTAATAAGTAAATCTTTCCTTAATACATTCTTAGATGTATTTAACATTTCATGGAATATCATTCTGTTTTATTTGAGTAATCTCATGCCCAAGCCCAAATCATGGCTCATGATCCTTTCTTACAACCTTTTATTCATACCATTAATTGATTAATCATTAATTATGCCATATTTCCATAATCCATAATTAATATGACTAATCACATATCACATATCTTTTTATATTTCTTTACTAGATAACTCTAGTTAATCACATACACGGTTCAAGTATACCTTCTTATTCATTTAAGAAAAATATACTCATGATTAATTAATAGATTAATCTATTTTTTTATTTATCATATAATACTTCCATAATCCATATTTAATATGGATAATCACAACTTTACAACCCTTTTATATTCACTTACTAGATTATTCGAGCTTATCTCATACATGGTTCAAGTATATCCTCTTATGCATTAAGAAATATATACTACGTACTAATGATTAATTAATAAATTAATCTATTTTTTTCATTAGTCATATACACCATGACTAATCATGCATTTTAATCCATTTCATCATTTCTCAAATCATGGTTATGATTTTATTTAGGTAATCCCACGTTTGAACCAAGAGTTACAAGACACGTAGTCGTCCACTCACCTCGAAATGACGCTAGCAAGCTTTTATCTTCTTTGTTTGAACTCCGGCGACTTTTGAATTTTCCGGCGAAAACTCCGGCAGCTCCGGCGACTTTTACGGCCACTCCTAGATTCCTTGAGAAGTCTAGAATACCTTGGTAAAATTCCTAACAAGTTTTCACAACCAAAAGTGGTATAAATGTCAAAACCTTCCGAGAAGGTGTTTCCCGGTGAACCGGTCTTACTCCGGCCATAACTCCGTTCATAGTTAAACTTAACCTTCCAAACCCTCATTCAACACCTATAGAAGTGTATCATATGATTTATAAAACCATATGAGATTAAATGAAGGAAGGAAAATACTAATGAAGTCATTACCTTGATTTTTCTAAGTTTTTCTCTTCTTTTCCAAGCCTTTCTTCTTCCTTGAGCCTTCTTCAACCTTAAGCTCGGTTCATGGCTATGGAGGGGAGTATTTGCAGAGGTTATTTCTCTATTTGATGGCCTAATTCGGATGGGAGGCTGAGGGAAAAGTCAACACACTCATTTGGCACCTTACTCTCAATCAAGGTAAATGAGAAGACCCACCCATGTCCTTTTGATGCCAATCAATTCCAATCCCATACAATGCATCCCTCCATCATCCTCCAGCCCACATCTCGACTGATTGGTTGCATAATTACGTGGGATGGCCCCCACCCATGTGGGAGGTCATCCCAATATGTCCCGAAATGTACATTCGGCCCCGAAAGTTGTATTTTCTGGACTGTTTTAATTATATTTTATTTTATCGGGTCAAGTAAAATATATATCATTCTTTCAATTAATATTGGACTCTAAAATGAATATATTTTACCCCACTTTAATTTAGTGGTCACCGGAATTTATTTCGGGCTGTTATCTGATTAATTAACTATACCGACAATGGGACCTCGTTTGATTGAAAGGCCAACTTTATGGATCACATTAATTTACACCATCATATAAATATTATCTAAACCAAGATGAATATAATACGTGGTCCGTAAATATCGGATGGTCCCCGCCCATGTGTGGGCCCAACGTGCCTTTTACCGTTCAAGTAGCGGTAAAAATGAGAATAAGTTACTTTAAAAAAATTATTCATCATTCCTAATGCTAAATATGTGTTTTCATATTTTGTGACACTTTAATAAAATGTCGCACTTATTTTTAAGTGGTCCCAACTGTATAAGCAGATAAAATCTTATCTGTTTATTCTTATACAAAAATATCTTCAAGGTAGGGTCCTCCAAAAGTACCCACCTCTAACATGTCAAGTTGCTCATTATTATCCATCATCCCATGTTTTGGGTTCTTAAAATATTTATATTCCTTCTGTTATTAATTTGTAGCCTTCCGAATTATTATCAGTCCGATAATTAATGATTCACAATTATCGGATAGTGACCCCGGCCCGCTTGGCCATCTAGTTGTCGTTCTTTATATCACTGGGGTCCATGACCCATCCCTACTATCATAATAATAGTATCGTTTTGGAAAATAGTAATATTTTATAAACTTGAAATACCACGTGTGGTCCCATGTCTAAATTAATAACCCTTTATTAATTTAGGACAAAATTTTAACTTTCTCATTTATCAAGACTACTCTTAGTCTTGATTTACCTTCTTTAACCAAGTAGTTTACGAAAAAATTTTATCTGGGTAAAATTCGGGTCCGGTGTTACAAGTTCACCCCCCTTACAGGAATTTCGTCCCCGAAATTAACGCTTGAACCTTGAGAAACATTTCTCCCTTCATTATCTGAAGCTAACAATTTTGAAAATAAAAATATTTATGGAAATTAAGGTTTAATTTAATAATACCTTGTGCCAAAGTCGGGCCTAACAAATGGCTTCCGCCATTCCCGGCCTTCACGAGCGAGTTCGCCATTGACTTGTAGAAGGTACCATGTTTGAGGCAACCTTAGTTGGGTTTTCAACCCCCGTGACCCCTCCTCTAGCTCCTGATGTTCCTTCACGCGCACGTTGAGGACAAAGGACCTTGATGTGGCCTGTTTCTCCACAAAAGTAACATCTAGATGGCTCTCGACATCTCCCATAGTGCCTTCGCCTACAATTCTCACATTTGGGTGCCCCCATGCCCCGAGTGCTTGAGCTTTGACTTACCAAGTCCTGGCTCTTACTGAAAAACGGAACTAACTTGTTAGAGTTCCCCTTGCTCTGAAGTTCATCCTTCCCCTCTCGTCGTGGAGGGTGAATGATCACCTGGGCTCTTTCTTCTGCTTCCTTTGCATCCCTTGCTTGCCTTTCCTTCCAAAGCTCCTCCCCCTGGAGACCCTGAGCTACTACCTGACTGAAAGTCATGTTGAATTGGTAGGTCGCCCTTTCGCGTATTTCCAAATTGAGTGCATTCCAAAAATGGTTTGCCATTCGATTCTCATTTGCGGCATATTCAGGCAAGAACCTTGCCAGATGTCGGAATCTTTGTTCCAGTTGCTTCACCGTAAACTCATTTCCCTGTTTGAGATCGATATATTCCCTCCTCTTTCGATTTACTTCGAAAGAGGTGTAAAACTGCTCATAGAATGCTTGCTCGAAGTTGTCCCACGTGACAACCCCGTCAAACTTACCCTTGGTGCCTTCCCACCAAGAAGAAGCTAAACCCTCCAATAATCTAGTGGCTACCCTTAACTTTCGTTCAGGGACCACCTGCATGTCATCAGCTGCATCATTCAACCTTTTTATCCACTCGGCTGCTTCCGATATGTCCTCCGTCCCATCAAATGGTTTGCACCCCAAGGCTCTAGCCTCTTTGAGATACTTTGAGATTTTAAAGAGTGGTCCTTCACCATCAGATTCCCTGACTGTCCTAACTTGTGCTCTGTGAGCACCCCGACCCCTCCTGAGAGAAGTCTCGCCTCTGACATGTCCCTCCTGAGATCCCTGTCGTTGTCTTCCCCTTTCACGTTGGTACCATCGGTACATTTCACTAACCTGGTCAGGAGGAATACTATGTATATCCTCCCCACTGTTTTCTTCAAAAGAAGTTTCATCTGACTCGCTTTGAGGGTGATAAGTTGAGTCATCCTCTGAGTCCCACGACTCGAATTCAGTCACATTGTGATCAGCCATCGCGGCTCGTGTTCGTGGGCCTTGATTGCCCATACCTCGCCTCTTACGCGACATTGATATCCCCCGATTGGCTTGCCCGGCTATCCCCGGTGCGCGCCCTCTCGGATTTCCTCGAACCGCCCTATCACTACCACCCATTCCTGAAAGAATATGTTGGAATGAGTCTTTGGACTCGTTTGAATGTCAATTGACAGAAACGTACTCAAGACACAACTTGGCTCAAGTCACTGCCATACCAATTGTTAAGGGGCCCATCTTAACAACCAGAGACCTTGCAACTCGATAACCAAATGCTCTTAAAGTACAAAACTTATGCTCATGGTTTTTCATTGAAAACTGTTTTGATAGAAACTCTGTTGAGAGGTTGACTATATAGTTTAGAAATCGTTTGGCTCTGATACCACTTAATTGTCACGCCCCAGACCGCGTCTGTGCCACGTGGACAACCGTCGTACAATCCAATAAGAATAACCGCAGTTCATCCTTACCGAATTGCACAAGACGTCCGATAGATACATATGCCAAAACCGATTAGTAAACATACATAACAACATCAACATACAATCAAACACATAGCGGAATATAAGTGTTTAATAAGAACCCACACAAGGGTAAAACAAGAGCTCGCAGGCTCCATTAATTTATAAGTCAAAATAGTTCCATGAGCATTATTTAATTATTTAGAAATAGAACCGGAGGAAGCACGAACCACGTCTTCTCTCCATCGATCTCCCGAGCAACGGGTGCAGGAAGTAAGCTCTAGCTTCAACCTGAAAGGGTGGTTCCCCCGAGGGATCAGTACTACAGAAAAGTACTGGTGAGGGCAAACTGTATGTAATGTAACTAACGTTTCTCACGCGAGACCCTCAAAATAGGGTGATAGTATAATTATGGGCATAACTCTTAGCTACCCCTTTTCAAAACAAAATGTATACATATATACATATGAGTAAAATATCTAGCCCGTGGGCCCATTTGTCTTTCAAATCATTTAGGCGTAACAGCCTCATTAAATTCATCCTTCCCATGCCTTACCCTCGAGTGGAGTCACCCGCAGGCTAACTCACTCGATACTAAAATATAATTACTGTGGGGCCCTTCGGACTCCCATATCCTAGACATGGTTTAAATCAATCCCTAGACCAAGGAAAATATTATATCGGGAACTCGTTCCCGATCAAGCACGTTTAATCATTTAAAATCATTACTTCGAGGTCCACCTACCTCGAGGACTATCCGTCCTTGCTATCATAGTTTTCATTTCCGGGTTAACCCCGCCTCGAGGAGTACGCATACACCCTCATCCTATGTGTAATTTACTGGAGGTTAACACACCTCAAGGACTACACGGGCCCTTGTTACCTATATGCACTTTGATGGAGGTTAACACACCTCAAGGACTGCATTTGCCCTTGTTAACTATATGCAATTTGATGGAGGTTAAACACACCTCAAGGACTGCATTTGCCCTTGTTACCTATATGCAATTTGATGGAGGTTGAACACACCTCAAGGACTGCATTTGTCCTTGTTACCTATATGCAATTTGATGGAGGTTAAACACACCTCAAGGACTGCATTTGCCCTTGTTAACGTTTGAGTGTAGAGGACTCCTCCTGGTCCTACAGAGTATTATATAACCTTACTTGGTCCCGGGTATTCACCCGCCATGTATAATCTACCACGTACCTCGCCCGGTCGTGGTCTATAATTTCTTTACTAACGACTAGTCCAAGTCTTAGCGTTTAAACCGTATTCCAAGCCTTATCATTTTAAACATCATATTTCATGCAATTCCATGCAAAATATTCATATATAGGATGGCTAGAATTTATCCCACGTCGAACCGGGTCCGATTTGGGTTTTTAACAAAAATCAGTCCTGAAAGCCGAGACATAACCGGCGCCGGTTTTACCCATAACCGGCGCCGGTTTACTGATTTTCTTGAGTAAACCGAACCATAACCGGCGCCGGTTTTGCCTATAACCGGCGCCGGTTACCCCCTGGGCAACCGGTCAACATTTTGGTCAACGCCCGTTTGACCATCCAAACGGGGTCCGATTTCCACGAAATTTTATATGCTTATGCAACAAGTCATTCTTAGTCCAAAAATATTATTTTGGACGTCCAAATCATCACACATAATTTATAATCATTTTCTGTCCAAATTAAAGCATATTAAATACACTTATTAATACTATTAATAAGTAAATCTTTCCTTAATACATTCTTAGATGTATTTAACATTTCATGGAATATCATTCTGTTTTATTTGAGTAATCTCATGCCCAAGCCCAAATCATGGCTCATGATCCTTTCTTACAACCTTTTATTCATACCATTAATTGATTAATCATTAATTATGCCATATTTCCATAATCCATAATTAATATGACTAATCACATATCACATATCTTTTTATATTTCTTTACTAGATAACTCTAGTTAATCACATACACGGTTCAAGTATACCTTCTTATTCATTTAAGAAAAATATACTCATGATTAATTAATAGATTAATCTATTTTTTTATTTATCATATAATACTTCCATAATCCATATTTAATATGGATAATCACAACTTTACAACCCTTTTATATTCACTTACTAGATTATTCGAGCTTATCTCATACATGGTTCAAGTATATCCTCTTATGCATTAAGAAATATATACTACGTACTAATGATTAATTAATAAATTAATCTATTTTTTTCATTAGTCATATACACCATGACTAATCATGCATTTTAATCCATTTCATCATTTCTCAAATCATGGTTATGATTTTATTTAGGTAATCCCACGTTTGAACCAAGAGTTACAAGACACGTAGTCGTCCACTCACCTCGAAATGACGCTAGCAAGCTTTTATCTTCTTTGTTTGAACTCCGGCGACTTTTGAATTTTCCGGCGAAAACTCCGGCAGCTCCGGCGACTTTTACGGCCACTCCTAGATTCCTTGAGAAGTCTAGAATACCTTGGTAAAATTCCTAACAAGTTTTCACAACCAAAAGTGGTATAAATGTCAAAACCTTCCGAGAAGGTGTTTCCCGGTGAACCGGTCTTACTCCGGCCATAACTCCGTTCATAGTTAAACTTAACCTTCCAAACCCTCATTCAACACCTATAGAAGTGTATCATATGATTTATAAAACCATATGAGATTAAATGAAGGAAGGAAAATACTAATGAAGTCATTACCTTGATTTTTCTAAGTTTTTCTCTTCTTTTCCAAGCCTTTCTTCTTCCTTGAGCCTTCTTCAACCTTAAGCTCGGTTCATGGCTATGGAGGGGAGTATTTGCAGAGGTTATTTCTCTATTTGATGGCCTAATTCGGATGGGAGGCTGAGGGAAAAGTCAACACACTCATTTGGCACCTTACTCTCAATCAAGGTAAATGAGAAGACCCACCCATGTCCTTTTGATGCCAATCAATTCCAATCCCATACAATGCATCCCTCCATCATCCTCCAGCCCACATCTCGACTGATTGGTTGCATAATTACGTGGGATGGCCCCCACCCATGTGGGAGGTCATCCCAATATGTCCCGAAATGTACATTCGGCCCCGAAAGTTGTATTTTCTGGACTGTTTTAATTATATTTTATTTTATCGGGTCAAGTAAAATATATATCATTCTTTCAATTAATATTGGACTCTAAAATGAATATATTTTACCCCACTTTAATTTAGTGGTCACCGGAATTTATTTCGGGCTGTTATCTGATTAATTAACTATACCGACAATGGGACCTCGTTTGATTGAAAGGCCAACTTTATGGATCACATTAATTTACACCATCATATAAATATTATCTAAACCAAGATGAATATAATACGTGGTCCGTAAATATCGGATGGTCCCCGCCCATGTGTGGGCCCAACGTGCCTTTTACCGTTCAAGTAGCGGTAAAAATGAGAATAAGTTACTTTAAAAAAATTATTCATCATTCCTAATGCTAAATATGTGTTTTCATATTTTGTGACACTTTAATAAAATGTCGCACTTATTTTTAAGTGGTCCCAACTGTATAAGCAGATAAAATCTTATCTGTTTATTCTTATACAAAAATATCTTCAAGGTAGGGTCCTCCAAAAGTACCCACCTCTAACATGTCAAGTTGCTCATTATTATCCATCATCCCATGTTTTGGGTTCTTAAAATATTTATATTCCTTCTGTTATTAATTTGTAGCCTTCCGAATTATTATCAGTCCGATAATTAATGATTCACAATTATCGGATAGTGACCCCGGCCCGCTTGGCCATCTAGTTGTCGTTCTTTATATCACTGGGGTCCATGACCCATCCCTACTATCATAATAATAGTATCGTTTTGGAAAATAGTAATATTTTATAAACTTGAAATACCACGTGTGGTCCCATGTCTAAATTAATAACCCTTTATTAATTTAGGACAAAATTTTAACTTTCTCATTTATCAAGACTACTCTTAGTCTTGATTTACCTTCTTTAACCAAGTAGTTTACGAAAAAATTTTATCTGGGTAAAATTCGGGTCCGGTGTTACAGATTGAATTTGTGATCGAGGTCGAGCCCGGCACCAAACCAATCTCCATACCGCCATACCGTATGGCACCCGCAGAACTTAACGAGTTGAAAACCCAATTGCAAGAGCTTTTGGATAACGGTTTCATTAGACCAAGTCACTCCCCGTGGGGAGCACCAGTCCTTTTTGTGAAGAAGAAGGATGGAACACTTCGAATGTGCATTGACTATCGTCAACTGAACAAGGTCACAATCAAGAATAGGTATCCTTTGCCTAGGATTGATGACTTGTTTGATCAACTACGAGGAGCAACCGTGTTTTCAAAGATTGACTTGAGGTCGGGGGTACCATCAATTGAAGATTAAGGAGGAGGACATACCGAAGAGTGCTTTCCGCACAAGGTATGGGCATTTTGAGTTCCTTGTTATGTCGTTTGGGTTAACAAACGCCCCAGCGGCATTCATGGACTTGATGAACCGAGTATTTCACAAATACTTGGACCGATTCGTGATCGTGTTCATAGATGACATCTTGATCTACTCAAAGAGTGAGGAAGAACATGAGGAGCACCTGATACTCGTTCTTGAGACACTACGGGAGAAGCAACTCTATGCCAAATTTTCTAAATGTGAATTTTGGCTTAAGGAGATTGGCTTTCTCGGGCATGTGGTTTCAGGATCGGGAATTGCGGTGGATAACAAGAAGATAGAATCCATCACCGAATGGGAGAGGCCAAAGAACGTCAAGGAAATTCGTAGTTTTCTTGGGTTAGCAGGCTACTACAGAAAGTTCGTGGAGAAGTTCTCTGTTTTGGCGTCGCCATTGACAAAGCTCACTCGGAAGGGAGCTAAGTTTGTATGGGATGACAAATGTGAGAAAGGATTCATTGAACTGAAGAAGAGATTGACCGAGGCACCGGTACTTGCTTTGCCCAAACAGGGTATGGGGTACGATGTCTATAGTGATGCCAGCATCCAGGGGTTTGGATGTGTGTTGATGCAAATGGGGAGGGTAATTGCCTATGCTTCACGACAATTGAAGAAACATGAGGTAAATTATCCTACTCATGACTTAGAGCTCGGGGCGGTGGTGTTTGCACTTAAGATATGGAGGCATTATCTCTACGGGGAGACATGCCACATATACACTGACCACAAGAGCTTGAAGTACGTATTTACTCAGAAAGAGTTAAACATGAGGCAGAGACGGTGGATGGAGTTGATAAAAGACTACCACCTGGTAATCGAGTACCATTCAGGCAAGGCCAATGTTGTGGCAGATGCCTTGAGCCGGAAGAGCTCATCTGGGACATTGATAGCTAACTTGAGGGCTTTAAGAGCCCAACTGGAGGTATCCAGTAATGGAGCCTTATTGGCACGATTTGAGGTAAGACCTACTTTGCTTGATGAGATCAAGAAGGGTCAGGAAACTGACGAGGAAATCATGAGGATCCGGGAACGCATGCAAGCGGGACCAGTGGAGGACTTCGGGGAAAGAGATGATGGTCTCTTATTATTTCGTGACCGAGTGTGTGTACCATCGGATGAGGGGCTCCGAAAGTCCATCTTAGAGGAGGCTCATTCATCGGCGTATGCTATGCACCCGGGAGGTACGAAAATGTACCGTGATCTAAAAGAAAGTTACTGGTGGTCTGGTATGAAGAGAGAAATAGCCGAGTACATCAGTAGATGCCTTACTTGCCAGCAAGTTAAGGCAGAACATCAGCATCCAGCTGGGTTATTGCAGCCACTTTCCATTCCAGAATGGAAATGGGAGCACGTGACCATGGATTTTGTGGTAGGACTGCCACGGACCGTGAGGAATTATGATGCTGTATGGGTTGTGGTTGATAGGCTCACGAAGAGTGCACATTTTCTACCTATCAACACTACCTATGCACTTGAGAGGTTAGCCAAATTGTATGTGGATGAGATCGTGAGGCTACATGGGGTTCCCGTAACCATTGTGTCCGACAGGGATCCACGATTCACATCACGATTTTGGCCGAAGTTCCAAGAGTCTATGGGAACGAAATTGAAATTCAGCACTGCTTTTCATCCACAGACGGATGGACAATCCGAGAGAGTTATACAGATTTTGGAGGATATGTTGAGAGCTTGTGCATTGGAGTTCCAAGGGAGTTGGGACAACCATTTAGCACTCGTGGAGTTTGCCTATAACAACAGTTATCAGGCGAGTATTGGCATGCCTCCATACGAGGCATTGTATGGGAGGAGATGTCGTACACCCTTGTGTTGGGATGAGGTTGGCATGGCCAAACTCGAGAGCACGGAATTGGTGGAGATCACCAAGTCTAAAGTGAAGGTGATTCGCGAAAGGCTTAAGGCGGCCCAGGATAGACAGAAGAGCTATGCCGACAAGCGCCGGAGGGCCTTAGAGTTTAAGGTGGGAGATGAGGTATTCTTGAAAGTTTCACCCTGGAAAGGAATCATCCGATTTCAAAGCCGAGGGAAACTTAACCCACGCTACATAGGGCCATTTGTGATTCTTGAAAGAATTGGGGCCGTAGCATACCGATTGCAGTTGACTCCAGAATTGGAGAAGATACATAATGTGTTCCACGTGTCTATGCTAAAGAAATATGTGCCGGATCCGTCTCACGTGTTAGAGAAACCACCCGTAGAAATACGCGAGGATTTGAACTATGCCGTCCGACCAGTAAGGATACTTGATAGGCAAGTAAAGAAATTGAGAAGCAAGAAAGTTCCAATGGTTAAGATCCTTTGGAAAAGTGACCGAGTTGAAGAAGAAACTTGGGAAACGGAAGCCTTGATGAAGGAACAGTATGCATTTCTTTTTGAATAAGCATTTGTGAATTTCGGGGACGAAATTCCCGTTAAGGGGGGGTGAACTTGTGACACCGCACCCGGATGTACTTGAACTTGAAATTTGGCATGTAATTGATATTCCTAGAGAATAAAATTCGTGTGACAAAATTCGTATATTTAATTAATGTGCGATTAATTAAATTATCTATCGGGCCCGTAAAGTGCGAACGGACTACCAAAATATTTAGTTGGGTTATCATAATAATTATAGGAGTCCAATAAAACGCCAACCGAAGTTGATAAAAATATTTGGACAACCCGAGTGCTATTTCGGCCCAGGCCTACCGAAAATAGCAGGAATAATTGGGAGGGACTTCCTACACCCATTTGGGGATTTCTTATCTGACTTAAGGCCTCAAAATAATCACTTTGAGACAAATAAACATGGGGGTGGACGGAGTTGCTGTTGAAGGGATGGCCTAAGTCAAATTAGAACATCAAATGACCCTACTCAACATTATTTTGAGGCTTGATTGAGTAGAGGTGCCTTCCCCCTTCCCATTCCATTCATTCGAACAACCAAGAGGAGAGAGAGCTCAAGGGAAAGTCTTCAACAAAGTCCAAGATTGAAGGCAACATCAACAAAAGAAATCCAAGGAGAAAAGAGTTGTTCTTGAGGTAAGAACACAAGTATTATCCTTTAACTAGTATTATTTTTGTATGATTTTTATGAAATCATATGGTGGATTAAACATGAAGTTCTACACGTTTAAAAGTGTAGAATAATGTTATAAAGTGGTGGTATTTAACTTAGAAGAGTCGTGGAATCGATAGGAGTTGAAATCGCCGGAAACCGCCAAGTATAGGAGGCTGTTCGTAGCTGCAGACCACGAAAGCCGCCCACCTTTCACGAAAGCCGCCCGGCTTTCGTCTGCTGCCCAGATTTTTCATCTCCAAACGGTTTAGAACGGGGATTGATCGAAGGGCTTAACAAGGACAACTATTTCAGCACTTCATAAGGTGAGGATGGCTGACTATATTGCTTATAATCTTTGGGTTAATTTCGTAGGATTACCTAAAGTAAATAAATGTGATTTTCATGGATTATTAATGATTAATAATGCCTAAATGAAAATAT